GCCGACCCGTTGGGCGGGAGGAAGGCGACGTGACCGTCGGAACCGAACGACGAACGGGACGGGGAGTGCGATTACTTGTTGTACAACAATAAGATGTGTGTGTGTGTGTGTGTGTGTGTGTGTGTGTGTGTGTGTGTGTGTGTGTGTGTGTGTGTGTGTGTGTGTTGCATAGGCATAGGAATGAGTCTGGTGGGAGGTACACCCCTGTAGCTGGTGGGAGAGAAGACCTGTTTCTTTTCTTAGATGCTTCTGAATTACTGGGACTTTCTACAGTGAGCATCATCACTTTGGGTACATGATATAAACAAAATAATAGCGCATGAGAGCCCAAGAGACATTGGTCAATTCAAACTGTCAAGTGAAAAAAGCAAATCTATGGCACTGTGCTGGAAAATGGAACCTGCCTGGATAGACCAAAAGCAGGTGCTGGAAGGAAGGCCCAGAGTGGGAGGTGAGGTCTGGCTGGACTTGGTGCTGGGGCTCAGGGAAATTAAGAGTGGTTTGTCCTCGATACATTTCTGTACATTTTCTTTAAAGAGCTTTTTATTTTCACTTCTTGTTTGGTATAAAAGTAAGATATGCTCATTTAATAATTGTTTGGAAAGAATTATGAGGAAGACAAAGACTCATCCCCTTGGCCCCCTACTAAAAGCAAGCCTGTTTGCTAACACTCTGGGGTGTCAGATCTGTTGTTGTTGTTGTTTTGGGGGGGGAGGAAATTAGGCTTATTGATTTATTTATTTATTAAATGGAGGTTTTGGGGCTTGAACCCAGGACCTCATGCATGCTAAGCACGTACTCTACCACTGAGCTATAACTTCCCCACTTAAGGTATCATATTTCGTTTCAAAGGAACCCCTCCAAAACTGAGAAACACTTCTTTTAAGTGAGTTGTTATGGAGTCACTACCAAAAGTGGGTGGGAAATAAACAGTTTGCTCCTGGCTCCAGTTGAGTGCAAGTTAGGGCACTAGCTGGTATCACCCACCCGTGTGCCGCACTCCTCTGGTACCCGGGATAGGACCAAGCAGGGGACTTCTGGAATTCCTGCAGATAGGTGGAAAGTGATGAGTGGCAAGTGGCTGGTAGGCCAAAGGCCTTTCCAAACTTAATCGTGTTTCCAAGAACACTAGAGCTTGGAATCCTGATCACAACAGCACCTGAAGTTTGCACGCATGCCCTATATTCCCCGGAATGCTTTCTCACAGGCAAAGAGGAAACTGAACCATCAGGCAAGCCAGCAACTCACCCCAGACCAGGCAGCCGGCGTCAGCACCCTCCCCAGCCTCAGCACACAGGCTTTGGCCAAGTGCTCTGAGAGCTAGGAGGGTGGAGTTCCCCCATCTCTCACCTCTAGGTTGGCCTGCATCCCCTGCTTGGTTGGGCCAAGATGAGAAGTCCCTGAGGGCTTGCCACCCCCCAGCCATCCCACACACCTTTTTCCCTGAGAAGGACTTCTTGATCAGTTGGGCTGCCTGTTTCTTGCTGAGGAAGGAGGCCTGGGCATCCAGCTTGCTGATCCCCTGGGGCTCGAAGATGTCGACGTCAATCTGTGGCATTGAAGCAATTCCTGCACCAAGGCTCCCACTGGGGAGCCATCATCAAGTCTCAGCCAAGAGCCTACGTTTATCCCGGCCACCTCCTGTGTGCACCATCCACCCAATTCTCAGCATAGGGCCTGGCATGACATAGGCACGCCAAAAACATTGGCCAAATGAAGGTGTGCATGCCTGTGCCCCTCAGTTCCACCACCACTTAGGTGCCAGCGACACCCACAGCCCCTCAGGCTGCTCCAGACTTTCTGGTTTACAAACTACCTGAACATTCAATATCTCTCATGATCCCTGTGGCAGTCCTGGGACAGGCAGAACCCTCATTTATAACAGTTGAGCAAGCCAAGGCTCAGAGAGAAGGAAGAGGTTGGAAGGTTCAGGGAGTTCCCTGCCCACGAAGAGCCATCAGAGCCCCTCTGAGGAGCCAGTCCCCCTCCCTGCATGCTCAGGCCTGGGACGGCACATGGTGGGTGCCAAACCGACGCTTGGAGCCACAGTGAGGGAGTGGCAGGGGCTCAGATCCTGCGACCTCGCCCCTGCGTGTGGCCACCTGCGATCTACCTCAAAATGCTGCACGAGCTGCTTGGGCTTGACCTTGATGATGATGTCATACTGCATAAACCGTCGCCTTAGCACCTCCTCGTAGGTCAGCCGGAACGTGACCTTGCTCCGGGGACCGACAGTGATGTGGATGGCGAACTGCTCCATCGTTCTCCCCGAGGCCCTGGACATGCCACCAAGGGCAACAACAGACAGGCAAAAGGTAGATAACTTGGGTCCTTGTCACCTAAAGCATGGTCCTCAGAATCAACTTCTCTTATTTTAGGGATGCTCCCAGATTTCCTTGACCCGCGCCCTTGTCTTAGCCGGCTGGTCTGGGTCAGGCCCCACTTCTCCAGTGGTGGGTCTGGGAGACGGCAGGTCAACACCAACCTGTGGCAGCAGTGGGTTTGGGCTGTTTGCTCATTGCCCATCAGCCTGGGGCGGCTCTCTACCCAAGACCACCTGGCAGCCCTCAGCTCTTTCCTGGCGGGGAGGCAGCACCAGAGACTGGGCCAGCAGGGCCCAGAGCTCACCTGACGAGGCCGGCGTTCTCTCCTGAGATGGCTGCTTTCCGGTACTGCTTCCAGGCAGTCACTTTGTCCTTTATGTCCCCAACAAATGTGTTTTCATCTGCTGTGCTACAGTGGGGAAGAAGCCCTCAGGGAGGTGCCCCTCCCTGACCACACAGGGCCTTTGTATCAGGGGAGCTCCCAGCCCTGGGTGCTGAGGAGCCTCCCACTGCCCCAAGAGTTGCTCAGGGGCCCCACGGCTGGGAGATGGGGGTCATAGGGTCCAGCAAGAAGCCATGGGTACTGCCTTTGTTCCTTGCGCCCTAGGCTGAAAACAGACTGTCAGAGACTCCAGTTTGCTCTCCAAGATGGGAGCCCAAAGCAGACCTAAAGGGTTTTTTCTGGACCTCAGAGCTGGAGGTGGCCTGTGGCCCTTGGGGCTAAGGGGGTGGACTGCGCTATCTGGCCATGCTGAGCCATGGTCTTAGGGTGGGCCTGGTGAGCCAGGTGGGGCACGCACATGGCAAAGTCACTAATGAAGGCTGTCCTGGGGATTTCCACATCGAAGGCCACTTCCTTGGCTTCATTGGCACTGTTGACCACTTGGCTGGTGATGACATAGTGGGCAAAGCGAGAGGTGACTTTGCAGTTGACTTTCAAACTCCGGATGACCACACCGTTGACACTCTAAAGTGAAATGGGAGGGAGGTGACCTGGGATGGGGCCTCTGAGCCATGAGACACCTCGGCACCCAGCTCTCACATGGGGGCCGCTCTTGATGCTTGAGACTGGGCCGTGGGGCTTGAGGTGGGTGGGAAAGCCCCCATTTCCAGGAGACAGAAGTCCCTCTGCCCAGGCACACACCCCTGAAGCAGGGTGTGGGGGACATAGGCATAATAATGGCCCTACCACAGACCCGTTTGCCAAGACTCTCACTCACTGTGTCCACAGGCTGTCGCTTCTGTAAAACAAAAGCAAGGCAAATGTGAATGTGAATGCACAGGGGACCATACCCTACCTATTAAGGGATGGAAGTGGGACACAGCCTCTGCTCCCCTCTCGCATGCTGCTGGGAGGTCTCCTCTCCGTTCTGAGGAAGTCGAGGTAGGTGGGGATAGTCTCAGTCCCTGGGGCCCCATCCAGGCTCAGCTGCCTGTTCCTAACCCAAAGGTTTACCCACATACCTTGATGCCTTTGGGACTGCCTGTGGGTGACTCCTGAGCAGGCACGGCCTGCAGGGCGAGGAGGGACACCAGGCACAGGCAGAACAGCCCCCGCAGCCCCATGGTGCCGTCCATGGTCTCGAGGCTCCTTCTGCTGCCTTGTCACTTCACTCAGACCAGTAATCAATAAAATGCTGGATAAACATGGATTAAACATTAGACAAGGTAAAGGCAAATATTATACTTGGGAGATCAGAAATTGACAGTGAAAGCTTTCTCCTTGGTTGGGGGGGTGGGGGTGGTTCTCAGTTGTGTAAACTCCTGACCAGACTCAGACTGTGCCCCTTGGTGTAGACTGCACTCAGCCAACGTGAACTGTGAAGACCCAGATGGCTCATTTATTCCTGGGTCTGGCACAGGGGCAACACCATTGACACGGTGGCAGGAGTCAAGAAGCCACGGTTTAAAAATGGATTTCTCAGCTTCATTAGGTGTTACTTTCAAAATCCTTTAAGCAGGAGCAAAATTTTTGGACGGTCCCACTTTGGCCCGGGAAGGAGACACAGTGGCTTGGAACGTGTCTGCCCACACCCTTCTTTCTGATGGCACCAACTCTAGTAGTTCATAATGGGTGCATAATTGGTGACCCATGCTTTAGGACAGTTGTTTTACCTCTCTGGACCTTCTTGCCCAGATTTGGAAAGAAGAGTGGAAGTAAGCCTCATTGTTCTTTGTGGGCAGGGGTGCTTGGCAGGTATGGTGAAGACAAAGATGAATGCCATGCTTTTGTGATGGAGAGCAGATTATGAGCCATGTGTTGCTCTAAGCCCTTTATGATCTAATTTTATCCTCATGGTGTCCCTGGGACATTGGTCCCACAACAAGTAAAAGAGCAGGTATTCAAACTCAGACCTTTCAGACCCCAAGGCCCAAGCCTGTTCTGTTAACGACAGGTAGGCCCTCTGCATTATTAGGAAGAAGAGAGAAGCAGTCAAAGACCCTAGAGACTCATCTCGTACCTGCAATTTCTTAATTTTTATGCACAAACCCTCCCTGACCCTCATAAGTCTCAGCACACTGGACAGACATGACCCCTGGTCAATCTACTCTGTGGCCCTGGTTAGGATAGACTGGTGGCCATGACCCCGATATGGTGACAGGGCTCAGAGGCCTGTTTGATCTGTTTGCTTGTCCTGGACTTTGTCTCACAAAGCAACTACTGGGAAAAGGTTTATTGTCCCCAGGCCAGAAATGCCCTTCTGGCCTGTTTTCTGGCCTTTATGGAAGATGAGAGGGCTCAACATGAAATTATACGTTGGGGTTTCTGCTGATTTCCTGCACAGGATCGACTGAGCCCTGTGTTGGGCTGGGCAGTGCCAGGGACCATAATGACAAAACTCAAGTGCCTTGATGCATTCAGTGGGCTGATGCCTTGGGAAAATGAGTCAGACAAGTTAGAGGAAGCCCAGTGAATCCCAGGAGTGGCCAGAAGCTAAAGAGGAGCCTGAGGAAGCTGTAGAAATCTGGAAGAGGTGAAGCCCATCTCCCACAGGGCCTTGAAGAAGGCTCCCGGAGGAGGTGTCTGGGAAACAGAGCTGCGCTTGGGAAGGAAGTGAGGGTGGGGGGACAGGAAGAGAAAAGCAGATGGGTAAGTGTGAAGCGCCACTGGGAAAGGTTCAGGTGTCTGTGTGAAGAGAGTGGGGAGGGAGGCTGGGAAGTGGTTTGGGATGGGTCTGAAAGTGACCTGTTCTTTGGGTAGGAAACAATGGTATTTTGAGCAAGTACATGGCAAGATCAAGACTGGGTTGTTAGGAGATGGCTAGTACCCAGCCTGCTTCATAGAAGGTGCTAGAAACACATTTGTATGACCTGGGGAGGAGAAAGGGTATGCAGAGCGCTAACAGTGACTAGCACCTGGCCCACTTCTCCTCATCTTTTGTGTCCTAATTCATTTACTGCTTATACCTACTCAGGTCCTCCATGGTCTGGCCCCTATTGACCCTTCCATCTCACCCAGCCCGTGGCCCTCTGTGACTCTCAGCTGCAGCCATAGAGGCTTTTTCCTGATCCATGTAGGTGGGTAATCTTTCACCCATTCATTCATCAGCCCCTGGTTCATCCATTCACACCTGCCATGTGCCAACCCCATGCCAACTGCTGGGTTTGGGGTGTTGAAGCTGGCAGGCCCAGCCTAGTGCTCAGGGAATTCACACTGCAGTGTGGAGGTGAAGTCACAAAACAAGTCCATTGGGCCTTAGCACATGGTTGCTCTCTCTGCCTTGAAGAAATTTTCCTTCAAACTTCAGCTCATGCAATAATTGCTCGAGACAACCTCTGCTGGAGGTCCAGGCTGGACCTGGTGACTTTTCTGCATGGCATTGCCCTCAGCGGTGTCAACTGAAATAAATGCACAACCTTAAAGTTGAGAGTTATGTTTTATTCAGTGGACAATTCTGAGGACTCAGCCCAGGATGACAGCCTCTCAGATTACTCTGAGGGACTGCTCCGAAGAGGTAGGGGAGGAGCTAGGATATATAGGAGCTTTACAACAAAGACCAGGTAGTTGGAACATTAAAAGATTATTTATTAACTTAAGAAAACCAGATATCTCAAGTTAAAGTATTTAGCACTTTTCTATATATGGGAGGAAGCAAACATTTGGGCTCATTGAATTCATTCCTTTGACAAGCACCTAGCTATCTAGGGCCAGTATCCTGTCCTTTCTTATTCTGAGTCCCCTCAGAGTGCAACATTGTGAGTGGCTGCAGAGGCCGGGCTGCAGCTGGTCTTTGCTGTGGGATGGCAGCAGCGGCTGATGACTTGATGGCTTCAGCATTCTTTGTTTACTGATGTGGTTTGCAGTATTTTTCGTTCACAGCGGCAATGATAACTTGTTAGTATGCTTGTTTGGTCAACGGCCTTCTCCCTCTTCAGCTGTAAGCCCCACAGGGGCAGGACTTTGTCTTGTTCACTCTGTGCCTCCAGGGCAGGGCACCCATCTTGCACCATGTGGGCCCACTCCAAATGTCTGTCAAGTGAATGATAGATTTGATGAAGAGCAAATTAGAGAGGTTAAAAGCAGAGCACAGAACCTTGCAAAACCTCAAATCTGAGGGGACCATGAGAACACAAAAGAGAACAGGAGTAGACAGAGAAGGTGGAAGAACCTGGAAAGGTCTAGAAACAAGACAGGAGAGGATACCCCAGAGGAGTAAAGGCTGCTAAGGGGAAGAGGGATGGGTGGAGACTAAGAAAAGCATTTAGGGAATCTGGGTCATTTTCCAGGAGGCTTTCCTGGGGACAAGTGGGACCAAGTGATTACAGAGGGTTTAGCAACGAGCAAGCCCTGAGGCTTCCAGAATATTGTTTTGAGTTTCTTAACTTCCCAGAGATTTCTTTAAGTGTAAAATGAGGAGGATAATAGTTCCAGCCTCACAGGGTTGATGTAAGGATTAAATGAACGAGTGTACCTGTCTCTGGGAAGGGGTTGGGGATTAATTGGGAAGGGGCATGAATTAACTTTCCAGGGTAATAGTGTTAAAAACAAGGTAACAGGCCCCAAATGGAGTCACTTATGATAAGCCCTATGTCACCAAAAGGAGTTAATTACAGTTTTAGCCTCTCCCAGAAATGGAAATCTTAAATCAAGCAATCAGAAATCACCTGATCAGCACTAGTGAGGTAATCTGCCTGACAGACCCCTCATCCCCTAAAGGAAAGTGACTTTGCCACACCCAGTCTACTTTTTGCTTCTATAACTTCCTTGTTCCCACTCCCTTTTGCCTATAAAACTCTTTAATTTTGTACAGCTCCTTGGAGTTCCTTTCTGTCTGCTAGATAGGATGCTGCCCAATTTGTGAATCATTTAATAAAGCCAGTAAGATCTTTGAAATACACTCAGTTTAATTTTATTTTTTAGCAGATTTGGTGGCAGTGGTGGGATCCAAAGGAAACTTCTGATGGCTTTGGGGACAACAAGAAATACAAGCATTGGTACCCATCAACCCTTTGCATTCTCTTTCTCACCATTTCCAAGGGCCATGGGTAAGTTCCTCTTGGTTCTGAGCTCCACTCTTTTTGTGTCAAGCTCCTGATTTAATTGGCTTTCCAGTCCAGAGCAGGTCAGCTTGAGCTAGCAGATGGCTCCATCCACAGCTCAAGCCTCTACCCTTGGTTTTAGTCCACAGCTCTTCATTTAAGGGGAATCCCAGTCCACAGTCCTCGTTTGTTGGGGTCTGCTGGTTCTGTTACTGGTGGATCCAACCAGTGTTCCAGGTTCTTGTCCCGTCACAGAAAGAATTCAGAGACAAAACATAGAGGTTAAGAAAAGAAAAGTAAGGATTTATTAAAGGGTGGATAGTACACTGTCAGGGGAGGGCAGGCAGACTCATGTGAGCAGCTGCCCTGAGTTTCTTTGGCAAGTTAGTTACATAGGGTGTAAAATGAATGGGCGGAATACTCATTTCAGACGGAAGGGCTTGGGGTCATATTTCCTGATTATCATCCCAACTCCACCTTCCCAAAGGGAGGAGAGACTTTTGTCCTTATTTAATCTGGATTGGAAGTGTCATGGCATCGCTGCATGATGGG